TTGCCAACTTGCCCGCCCACAAACAGTAAAATTTCCGTGTGGTTAACATCATGTCGAGAAGACGCTGTATCCTACGCTGTGAGAGTAAATTTAATAATAATAAATCTTATAATTACCACAAACTTGTTAACTCTTGACACTTACCACTGAGAAACGTCCTGCTCCAGTCGTGCTTGCGAATCAGTCTCTTGTCGATCAGCCAGTTCAACCGTTTCATCATCAGACTCCGGCTCGAACTGGTAAGGTACAATCGATACCATCTTTTCTATGTATTGACAAGTCTCCAGGGCTGTCATTCAGTTTCCGCCATGCGCTGTACGCGGTAGACCAATCACAAAGGACTGCGCCATCTGACCAATCACAGCAGTGAGGGCTCACGGAAAGGAGAGGTTTAGAGAGACTGATTCTCTGAACTGCTTCGCACGAGTCGTTTACGAATCATTTAGAAATTAGGTAAAATTTAATCTATTTTTTGAGAAAACGAATGTTTTTTGACCTTGCATGCATGTAAACCTGTTTTAGGAGACTCATAAAACCTTAAAAATGGCATAATAGGGGCACTTTAAAACATTATTTATGCATACATTGTAACTGCAGTGTAAATGCATTCATGTCATCTCTGAGCTGCATTAAACAGTCTTATGTTGGATGGATTTTGTCGATACTTATTTTATTTGATTGCTTACAGCCTATACTGTCTTAATATCATAATTGTGTTTATTAAAAGATGTTAGGATTTACATGAAAGGGGATGCTTACATTTGAAAAGGTTAGAAAAGCTGGTTAAAGGTTAAAAATGCCATGGAAGTCACTTTAAGGGGGCAAATAGCACCCTGTAGTGGAAAAGTTCATTTCTATCACTATTTATGATTTTAGTTTTTATCCTGGATTCACTGAATCTTGCAAAGTGTCCTTCTTTCTGGCAACATTAAGTGACTCAAAACTGGAAGAAATCCCATGCAGTGTGTATTCAGCTTTACTGTATGTTTGCTCGGTTTACATTCCATTTAACCTGTTTTAGTGGATTAGATCGGTTTATTTTAATTTATTATATCATCGCCCCAAAGCCACATTCGCTTCACCTCCGCCCTTAATATGATTTATAACGCACACATGATTGTGAACTTTTTTTCTTAGAGGCTATTGAACATTTAATCTCCAGCTACTATGCGAATATTCTGTTAGTGAACTGAATTTATGTGGTATGTTCAGCATAATTGTGGTTATAACCTCAGAAAACAAGACAGCAGCCCCAGCGTGGCCTTTCTGTTTCCATTCAGAGCGAGTCTAAAACACACGCAGAACATCATTCCAAGCCTACAGAGTCAGTCTGCTTCATAATGCAGTGCTCAGCGTGCATGATCACATGGCTCTAGGTATCAAAAGAGCCCTGGGGATTTTTAAAACATATTTTTGGGTTTGTTGAGGGAAAACCCACTGAAAAGTATTTAGTAGTAGCCAACTGGAAAGCATCTGCTGAGCTTCAGTCGAATGTTTTGCTGTCTAAAAACCTGTTCACACCAAGAATTAAATGCATCACAAATGAAAGATCTGTTCACTAAGAGAGAAATGAAAAGGCACTCTGCTCAGTCGTGTGCATTAATTCTGTACACTCTCTCACTTTAGCATTTCACTTACTTTAACAGTGACACATGACAGCCTGAACATCAGCTGATGTTTTGGTCATAAAATCATATTTGTTTTGTCGTTGCCTATGCATTCTACTGTATAGGGTGCCATTTCTGTCCAGTTTGTCTATTTAAAGCAAAGGTTCACCCAAAAAGGAAAGTCTGTCACCATACTGCATATTCATCTTAATGGCTTTATTTTCTCTGTGAATATGCATAAGCAAATGCATAAGCATGTTAAATCTGTGTAGAGGTGGATTCAGAAGCCATATTTACAGAAGGTGTTGGACATCATATGCAGCAGTGTACTTCTCATTGCATTTTTGTCCAGTGATTGTAGAATCACCTCTGCATTTATGTATTTGAGTTTGATATTAGTTGATATGGGCATTGTTAACTTGGACAGACTGATTTTGTCAGTGTATAGAGTTTTGTTTTCTTGTTTTCTAGGGATGTGCCACTAACAATAGATGAATCGTGATATTTGAGTCATGATATGATGCATATTACAATTTATGTTGTGCATACCTTGCCAGTGTTTTTTTTGTTTTGTTTCTTTTTGCTGGTTTAATAACATATAGAACACTTTGTATGTGTGCAGCTATGCTACAGTAACATTCACCTCAGCACTGATAAAAAAAAAAAAAAAAAACAAGGTTCTTTTTTAAAGTTGCCATTATTGCACAATAGATTATTCAGGATATTGAGTGCATCCAGATATTTCTACAGACACACACCCCTGAACTACTGTGCAGTGTGGAGTTTCATGAAGAAGAGCCTGCATCAGAATGATCTCAAGTGTTGGAGGTGAAAGCAGGCGATGGATCAGAGACCCTGACACCAGTGACCTCACACAGATGGATGGAGGGAGTGAGAGGGAGGGAGGAAAAGGGAGTGTTGTACACAGAGGCCTGAACAAACAGTGGAGGATGAGAAATTCCTCAAACTGCGCCGTGGGCCGGATGTTCTCGCTCCAGGATCAGAGACCCTGACACCAGTGACCTCACACAGATGGATGGAGGGAGTGAGAGGGAGGGAGGAAAAGGGAGTGTTGTACACAGAGGCCTGAACAAACAGTGGAGGATGAGAAATTCCTCAAACTGCGCCGTTGGCCGGATGTTCTCGCTCCAGCAGAGCCGGGTGTGGTGGGATCTGTAAACACTGCTCTTTGATACGGGCTGATAGAGCTTCATATTACAGTACCACCACACCACTGCAATCCAGATCTCGGAGTAGTGTTTGTTTCTCTGTTATGTTGAAAAATGTGTATGCAGTATATAGACTACCGGTCAAAAGTTCAGAATAAATAAAAAATTTTAATGTTTTGAAAAATATATAGATTATGCTTACCAATGCTGATGAAAAATACAGTAAAACAGTAATATTGTGAAATTATTATTACAATTTCAAATAACTATTTTCTATTTGAGTATATTGTTAAATGTAATTTATTGCTGTGATCAAAGTTGAATTTTCAGCATCATTACTCTAGTCTTCAGTGTCACATTCTAATATGCTGAGTTGCTGCTCAGTTATCAGTTATTAAAATCGGTTCTTATTATTATTAATGTTTTTGCTGCTTAATATTTATGGCTTTTTCTTTGATGAATAAAAAGTAACATTCTAAATGTCTTTGCCGCATTTGATAAATTTAATGCATCCTTGCTGAATAAAAGTATTATTATTAGTAGTAGTAGTAGTATTATTAATCGTACTTACCCAAACTTTTAAATGGTTTATCATGGTGTCAACAAAAATATTAAACCGCACAATAAATTTGTATTGAGCATTCAGCTTTGAGCAATAAATTATATTTTAACATGCATTCACATAGAAAAGTTATTTTGAGTTGTAATAATATTTCACAATATTACTGTTTTTAACTGTATTTTATTGAGCAGAAGACACTTCTATCAAAACAGAAATCGTAATTATTTCAAACCTTTGATCAGAATTCAAACCTATTTTCCTTTTCGTTACAGTGACCAATAAGAAGCCAGCGCAGGTGTTCCTCACGAAGGTGAAGCAGTTTGAAGGCTCCTCGTCTTTCGTCAGGAGATCACAGTGGACCATCAGTCAGCTGCGGCAGGTCAACGGCATCGACTCCGTCCGAGTGAGTAGATGGGCTCTTGCTCCTTCAGATGCTGTGTTCTGTTGGATGCCATTGGTCTTTGACTGCCTCTCATCATCCAAAAATGTTCAGGATTGCCCAGAGTTTGATTTGATATTTGAGAACGGATTCGACCAGTGGACTGCGGGTTCAGCTGGAGAGAAGTGTGTGTTTGTCCAGGTCCTGCATCACACATGTCAGCGATTCATCCCCGAAAGAAAACCAGAGTTCATCAACTGCCCCTCCAAACTGCTGGGAGGTGAGACGTCCCGTTCAAGCTTACTGTGCAATCTCTTTCACTATACGCTACTTTTTTGGAGTTTTTTTATTAAAATTTTGGTAATACCTACAAAGAATTCCATCCCCGTCAGTCAGTCAATCAATCAAATAGAGGGTCTATTGTATGCATTTGGCTCATAATTGTATATAGTGGCTGGTGAAACTATTGTTAAATTATTGCACTACTATACTGTAGTAACAAAAAACAACAGCTTTTTAAAATGTTACTTTCTGTTTTCTTGTTTGGATGTTTGATTATTGCTAGAAAATCATCTTTTTAAAAATCCGATTTTCAAACTTTATTTAAAGGTCCAAAAATTTGATAACATACTGCAAAAAAAACCCCACTCATATAATATTCATTTGTAGAGGTCGACCGATATGGGTTTTTCACTGGCCGATGCCGATGCCAATATTTAGAAATCAGGGCAGCCGATGGCCGATATATGATGCCGATTTTTTTAGCCGATATGTTTGGCCAATATGTCATAAAAGTGAGTTTGAGTAAATGATTTTTGCAGGGTACAAGATAGTAACAGTAGTAGTAGCCTAATTCTGAGTAATAATACATGGCTCAAAACTTAAGCACCTTCTCAAAACAGTTCTGAAGCATGCTTTTTGTTTATGTTTGCTGACAGACACCAGTGTTTCCCACAGACTGCAAATGCAAATTGATTCTCCGCCAGCAGGAGGCGCTGCTGGAGCGGGAGATATAGCTATGTCCCCGGTAACGGCTGTAATCAAATAAGCACTGCGCTCACAAACGCTACTTTATCAGACATTACAGGAAAGACGAAATGAAAATGACATCGAAGCTTTTCTGAAGACTGTCGGTTCTTTTCAAAGATACATTCATGATTTTGAAGCATGCAGTGCTCAGTTTATTCAACGAAGTATAAGCCTTTTGGAAAATCTATTTGTGGGGAGCCGCCACAAATAACTCAATGTATGGGAAACACTGGACACTGCTATAAGTCAAATGGCCAAGTGATTACAAAAATAAAAGAGTTCACACATATTACA